GTGAGCCATGGTCGTGTTACTTAGGAGCGGCATTTTCTTCTGTTCTGGTTCTCAAGGGGGAGCCTGAGGATGTGCAGGACATCCCCACCCCAGAATCTGCCCCTAGGAGGGCTCTGGCTGCGGGTTTGAGCCTGACTCTACCAGATGACGACAGAAGCGATGACAGCAGCCCGCCGTCAGCCTCCCCTGTCGACTTGGAGCCGAGGCGCCATGCCAGCTATAAGGGAGATGCGGGTGAACACACGGCATTGCTAGGTGAGCAGCTCACACGGTAAAGCAACACATGTCACCAGTAGGCGGGAGAAATTTAATGCATAGAATGCAGGAAAGCGTGAAGGAACATGGAGAGCATCACCCACACCTAGAGGCGCCATTTTCACAGTTTGATAGATCTCTCTCCAGATGTTCTTCTGGAAATTGAAGGATGTTTAAGGATGGGGGAATATCATTTAAATGTGCTGAAAGGTAACCTGCTTTTGTCACTTAATGTATGATGCTCTTTCTTTATTAGTAAATAGATAATTTCATACAGTTGTGTAATACTACATCTTGGGTTTCTGCAGTTTCTATAAGCTATTAATGGTAGCACTTTGAGGTCACATGTGTATCAGTAGCAGTATTATCAGTAGCACTTTGAGGTCACATGTATATACTACCTCTTGTCTAATTTGTTTTCTGTCATTCTGATAGGTGAAAATACAGTGAATTACATTTGTTTGATTAGTAATGAGGTCACCCTCTTTACCCTCAATACTCTAATGAATTGCTCATTTCATCCCTAGCCTATTTTTCTATGGAGATACTATTTATTTATTTATTTTTGAGGTGGAGCCTCACTCTGTCACCCTGACTGGAGTGTAGTGACAACTCTCCCGGCCACCGCAGCCCCGACCTGCTGGGCTCAGGCGATCCTTCCACCTCAGCCTTCAGAGTAGCCAGAACTATAGGCACGCATTACCACGCCCAGCTAATTTTTTAATTTATTGTAGAGATGAGGTCTCACCATGTCGCCCAGACTGGTCTTGAACCCCTGAGCTCAAGAAATCTCGCCTTGACCTCCCAAAGTGCTGGGATTATAGGCTTGAACCACTGTGCCCGACCCTATTTTTTTTTTTCATATTGAATCTTAAGAGTTTTTATATACTGAAAATATTGTCTTTATGTTTTGTATATTTTCTCCCCATTTTATGTATCCTTTGACTTTGCATTGTATTTTGCTAGTTAGAAATGAACTCGTGTAGTTTTGTTTCCCATTCTTTCAGATTCTGCCTTTGATGGCATGCCAACTTAGAAAGGTCTTTCTTATCTTAGGATTAGAAAGGTATTGACCTATATTTTGCTAGTATTTGTGGTATTGTATTTAACATTTAAATCTTAATCCATATCATTTAAGATGTCAGGGGAGATTTAACTAACCTCTTTTTTCACAAATGTTTAACCAGTTGTCCTAATATTGTTCAGTAAATAATAACTGCAAAGAATTATTTTGATATTTGCAAGACAAATTTCTTCATCTTTGTTCTTTAAAAAAAAATTTGAGCTATTCTGCATTTTTTAAAAGATTAATTCTGAGATCATTTTGCCAAGTAGAAGAAAATCTCATTAGAATTTTTATTGGAATTGAATTAACTTACAGGTTATTTTAACTGGGAAGAATTGATGCTTCTAATTTTAAATGTTGCCTTCGTGGAAGAGGAAGCATATTTTTCCAAAACAATAACATTCAAACTAAATCAGTTTCTTTTTAACATGTTTAGGATCTGTAGGCAAAAGTAGGTAGAAATATTAGAACCTAAGTTTAAGCCCATATCACAGGAAGAAAGAAGACATTGTGAAGGAGAAAGGGGCAGCGGATTTCAGAGGATTATGAAATTGGAATGGCTGATTTGTTGCAAACATTCTCTTACCCAGCTCTCCAGTCAAAATGACCGCCTTACAAGGCACGTGCTAGTGCTTAAATGGCTCTTAGTTTTGGGATTCCCATTCTGTTGAGCCATAGTGCATACCAGTGTGATTTGGGGCGTTGCCATCAGACTCCAGAAGGAAAACTAAATTTGCTTTCTTTAGTAGGAGACATTCAGAGGCTTAAAAGCAGTCTCCGGTTGTTTCTGCATCCTTGTTACCTGTAAGGCATTACAGTTTAGATCTAAGATAACATAATTTGAAGTAGCAGATAGAAATAAAGAAGGTGGGGGGAAAAGCTAAGTCTACAAAGCTGCAGTGTCAGACACACTGTGAACCGGCTGGACTCCCAGACCTCCTGCCAGTTCTGTCCCATTTGGGGCTCACATTCTATTTTCTCTCTTTGTCCCAAGTATTGTTCATCAGTAAATTGACAGATAATTTATATGGTAATGTTCTTTCTACCTTTTAACAGTAACAGTATAAATTGGAAGACATTAAGTTAGAAAAATCAGTTATTTTAGGCAGGCTTTAACACTTCCAGGACATAGCCGGGCTCAGTGGCTCAGCCTGTAATCCCGCGCCTTTGGGAGGCTGAGGTGAGTGGATTACCTGAGCCCGCGGGTTCGCGACCCACCTAGGCAACTTGGCAAGACCTCATCTCTACAATAAATCAAAAATGAGCTGGGCGTGGTAGCACGCGCCTGTAGTTCCAGCTACTTGGAA